TTCAGGTTTTAGTGGAACTGATTTAGGCAACTGGGTGATAATTTATTTAAACTCATATATTAGAAATTAACCATGTTTTAATCTTTTCTATTTAAAATTGTAGCATAATGCACATCCTGTACAAAAATCTTTTTATATATTTTATCAAATTTTTGTTATAATTTATACAAAATAATCTATTGAAAGTATAAAATTCTATGGAGTCTGAGCAATAATATACTTCTGGAATCATTACCACAATTAAGAAAAAGACCACATCCAACATGCCAAGAAAAGATCCTTTATGCTACTTTGCAGCCCATCCCTTTATCTGCCCCTGACTGTAGACAATCCTTGATCTGTTCCTTATGACTATATATGTTCCTGTTTTCTGGAAATTTACCAAAGTGGAATCATGTAGTATATACTTGTTTTGTTTATTTTATTTTACGGAAGAAAATTATTTTTAGATTCATCCATGTCGTTGCATGTATCAGCATTGTAGAGTGGTATACCATTGTATATACCATCATTTTTAACCTGCTTATCTGCTGAGTTAACTTAAGAAATCTTTGTTAAACTAGATGGCAAATAATTTTTCAAATACTTTCTTTCAGAAGTGTTAGAGTTTTAGTTTTTACATTGAGATCTATGATCTATTTAGAGTAAATTTTTGTATACTGTGTCAAGTAAGAGTTTATGTTCATTCTTGTATTCCGTGCCTTAAAGTTCTTTTTTTTTTGGCACATGGACATCCATAGAGAATAAATTTAAGTATAGATTTTGTGATATCAATTCTTTTTATTTTTCTATTGTCACAATGTGTCTGCTGGCTTCATCCAATTTCTAACTACTATTAAACCATGGTGGTGGCAAATGTAGCTCCAAATAAAGAAGTTCCCATTTTTTTTATGTTCTTTTATACCTTTAACTCCTGAGTAATAATACAGTGGCTGGTCCCCACATACAAGAAAATACTTTCCCAAAACTCATTTGGCCTTGTGTTTGATTCTTTTTCCATCATTTTTGCTCTGTGTTTATAAAACTATGTGGTAGATGGTAGAAGATGGTTCTTTCTCACTCACAGTCCTTTTCATCTCTACTCAAGTCAGATGAGTTTTCGCAGCACTACTTCAAGCAGCATTATAATGCTGTTTTAGAGGGAATTGCTAGTTGGCCATCATTTAATTCACTGCTTGTACTCATTTAAGGTCATCTTGGGAGGTTGTTGCCACTGTTTAGTTTCAGCATATGTTTAGGTTTTCTCTAAGTAAAATTTCTTTGGCTATTTTCTCAAGTGTCAGCAGGTAAAGGAGGAGGAAAGGTAGTTAGCACTTGGTCACATGCTACCATCTTTCTAGATTTGGGGTATTTTTTCTTGCTAATAAAATTATTCAGAAAAACTTTCAAATCTTTCTTAACATCTTTCCTAGTGTTTAATATTTAGCATTATAAAAAGTCTTTGTAAATAGTCTTCATAAAAAGTTTTACTTCCACTGATGTTTTTGACATCTATTTTTCTATATATTTCACGTTTTTTCCCCTAGTCCAAGTCATAATGGGATAATATTGTCATTTAGGTTAATTAGTTTTTTGACTTGATAAGGTCTCTTAAATTTTTAAGTTATCATATGCTAACATTACAAAAGGGTCCAGGATAGGTATTTAGCAATGTCGTTTGAAGGAATTAATAGATTCTCAGTCAACAGATAAACAATTATTGCATACCAGGTCTTATTCCTTAATCATATGGTGCTTAATTCATATAATATTTGACTAAATTGAATCAGACTATGTTGCTTACACTTCTCACATTTGATTATTGTTACAAGGTTTTGAGAATGTGTTGCCTTTGCTTATTTATTAAGAATTCATTAGAAAAGTGTTTTGAAACGATCTTCACTTATAAAATGATCGAAATTGAGGATAGACAATGTCTTTTTGTTCTTATTTAAAAAATTCATTTTGTTTAAATATTGATCTCACTTTCAATAAAATGCAATAATTTGTTTTGTGTAAATGAGCTAAACATATTGACTATTGTGCTATAGTAATCATGAGAACAATGTACTTATTACCTAATATTTTTATTAATAATTAAACATGGACTCCCAGATTATTCAAAACATAACATAGAAGCATAATGTTCAGCAATTCTCAAATATGTTTGAAGAGTGACTACTTGAGGAAGCATACCTAAAATACTCAGTGGATACTTGTGAGCGAATTAAAAATTATTTTGTTTTCTTTTCTCGTTTATTCTATTGGGAAAATGAATCAATAAAATGCTGACTGTAAAGCTGGAAATGTGTAAAAGAATCTGATAATTATTTCACATCACATGATTATATAATCTACTATAGTGAGGAGCTACGTAACTGAGAAACTAAGCACTTCTGTGGAAGCCAGAAAATTAAAGTGAAATTTATATTCAGAACTTTCCTACTGAAATGCATTTGGTTAAAAGTGCTTGAAAAAATGTGACATCAAAATATAAAAGAAGTGATTTTTAATGTTAAAATTGATATTAAACAAATAATGACTATTTGAATTCTACAACATATTTAATTTTACGTATTAATTTTAACCTCAAGAATAATTTTTAAAGAAAAATAGAATGCTACTCAGAGCTAATACCACTGTTTCTGTTTTCCATATCACCTTATAGGCTTCCACTGATATACATACATATTCATGTCTCAATGTGTTTTCATATCTGACTTCCAGATTCTTTTCTATGATGTTGATATAACAGCATTCTTTATTGTTACTTCCATTAGTTGCATGTTCATTTTTTTATTACAAAAGATATTTGTATCTTCATTTTTAGCAAATTGATTTATAATTCCTATAGAATGGAAAGTTCAGTAACTTAAAAATTATGTGTTTTGGTATATTTAGATTTTTTCTCATCTTTCTTTTATGTTCTGCTTACATTAACCATAGCACTTATTACATAGTATTGTGGTTACTATCAGTTAATATTTATTTCTTGTATAATATATTGAGCCACGATCTCCAACTGTTTTTCTTATTCTTATATTCCTCAGTGTCTGAGACATAGTACAAGCTTAGTAAATATTTAATGCAGTCTCCTTCATGGTATTCAACAACAACAGAATTAAATCTAAAATCTGGTGTGCCTGCAGGTGGTGTTGGGGGGATGGCTCAACAAGAGAACAATGGTGCCTGCCAGCACTTTATTTTCAAGAGAGAGCTGACCCTTTAGTCCTTAACCTGAAGGCAGACAATTCAGTTTCTCCCTGTATGTCCTTGGCACTTTTTGTTGGTCTCTAGCAATCTTCCATATCAGTAGACACAATTCCTACTGATTGTCATAGCCAGATGTTATGGTATTCCTCTTTCCTGCACTGAAAAGTACTTTCCTGAAAGTACTTTCCTAGAGTACTTTCCAATACTCTAGGCTGCGGAGCTGGATATGGGGCTGGGACCCCTCGTACCTCAGTAGGGACTTCCACAGCTGAGCTATCCTTCCCAATTTTTAACTGCAACAAGTGGGTGTGGGACCCACCTATTTTGCATCTCTGCCCCTCCTACCAGTCTTGTCATGGCTTCTTCTTTATATCTTTAGTTATAGGAGTTCTATTCAGCTAGTCCTCAGATGGCTCTCAAAGGTGGTTCTTCTATAATTTAGTTGTAATTTTGATTTGGTCATGGAATGTGAGCACTGCATTTACCTATTGTTCTATCTTTACTGTAAGTATTCCTGAAAATAGTTTTGTACTGGACCGCCAGTCAATTCTCATCAATTGTCATTGTTGAAAAGGCTTGCGTCTATAAGTTGTAGGATTTTGTATGGTCTTTGAGATCAAATAATTTATGAGATTATTATGAAAAGACTAAATTACTAATTGAATAATTTCATTATCAAATGAATGTAAATTATAGAATGTAAACTTTCTATATAATCACATCTTTTTCTCTGGAGCTCCCTGTCATAACCTCACTAAATTTATGAAAGGAAATTCAATTATGTAAAACAAAATTTTCTCAGGTGCTCCTGCTTTAGCACTGGCTTCTGTCAAGAAAATTTTGGATAAAAGAGAATATATTACATTTCTCAAGATTCATGAGTCAGTATTAGGGTAGATAGTGATAATAACTGACATTCTTTGGTGTTTGGTCCACCCTTTTGGACCTTTGAAGGAAGATCCTTATCAAATTCCAGAGGCAAACATGCCAAAATTGGATTCATATCAAAAAGTAGTAAGTAAACAGATTTTGAAAAGTTTATCACTGAACTTACTCTCCATCTCATTAAATTCTCCTCTTTACTTTTGTTTTTACAAAAAGTCTTGATATCTATTGTCTCATTAAAATATTTATATAAAGGTTTTAATAACTTTAACCAATGATTACTTATTGATGGTATTTTACACAGAAAGGTACATTGTCTGGAAAGGGTTTTTTTCAGTCACGAGGATCATTTCATGCATATCTAGTATTTTATGGACAATAATTATTTACTTCTATATGGTGCTTTATGCATAGTTAGAGCTATGCTTGGATGGAATATTATAAAATTTTATCTGCAGGTGGGAAAAACTGATTTATTATATCTTTTATAAATATTTTTATTTGAACATCCAAATATACCTTTAACAGTGAACCAATTCATTTCATAGCTGTATCATAGACTCTAGCTTGAGTTTAATCTGAATTTGCTAACTATTTTGGTAAAAATATCCTCTAAAAATTTAACAGAAAAAAATACAAGTTCATTTTCTGGTGGTATGAGGGCTGACCGGTTTCCTAGGTATACTTTTTGTCTCTTTATCCTCATAGCACACTGGTGATACTAGCATGCAGCATCTTCATACCAAATGCCTATCAAAGGCAATCAAACCCTTCTCTTACCCAGGCCTCTATTTTACTTTCTTTTGTTCTTAATTTCTTGCTCAGTATTACATGAATCATTTTATAGGACACCATGTTGTTATGCTTTAAAAACCATTTTATTTTCCATGGAAAGTAACATAGTTATATCAGGTATAGAAGCTTCAGTACTTGTCCTGGTAAGGTGATGATGAAGATTTGGAAATGCTTGTGTTACTTCGAGAAAACACCTTTGACAGAGCTGAAGATACCTTTGCCAGCATTTTAGATCCTTGTTTGGAAATGGTGGGGTTGGGAGTTTCTGTGGATACAGCAAAAAAGTAATATAGATGTTTATTAGACATGTTAATATTATAGTCATACTACAGCATTGATGACTTAGAATTTAGAAATTGATATTTATAAACTATTTTATGGGTTTAAAAAACATTCACAAAGATTCTTTTGATTTGATTCAACACTCCTCTAAAGAGAACAAAAAAAAAATGATGCCTCTCCATTTTTAGACACTGAATCTTGGTGAGGTCAAATACCTTGCCTAATAACACATGAGAGGCAAGAGGCCAAGTAGGGAAAACAGTCTAGCTTTCTGACTCTCCTGGCATCATTATACCTACTGCACACTGATGCTCCTCTAGTCAGGTGTGCAGAGAATGCCTTTCTTTTTATAGCAGAAACCTCTGTGAAAAAGCCTGATGAGCTATAAACTCACATGGTAAAGTAACTTTCGACTCTATAAAGTGAGGATGTTTACTTCAGAGTGCTCAGGTGAAAAAGAAGTGCATTAAAACTGCTATAATTTCTCACTCACTTGGGGTAAATTTTTAGTTGACTAATTTCAAGTGATTTTTTTTGGTCATGTGAGATAAGAGTCCCTGAATTCATTTTTCTGTACCACTTATTCAGCACATGGGCTCTTAGTGAATATATTTTAATTTAACAAAATTATTTTACATGTAAAGACAGAAGTGAACATTTATGTGCTTTTCTGAAACTTTGATAGGATGTAAAAGGACATGAAAATACACAGTAAAAGCTCATATTTTCTTAAATGCAGTACATTCCAAAAATCATGACTGTACCTCTTGCAGTTGCCTAGATTTATCTTTTCTAGCAAGATAATCTAAAGTTAAAGCTAAAATAGCTGACAGCAAATTTAACCATAAATAAAGAACAAAAAAGTCTGTGTAGGTTTTTTTTTAACCTGTGCTATTATTTTTTCAAATGACATAAGAATTAAAAAGGAATAGGTCACAATCTACAACAAATAAGACAAAAGCATGGCTGAAAGAGAAAGATGTACAGTGTTAAAAAGTAAGATATAAATTTTACTAGCATTGATTGTTGCAAGGCATTTTTGCAAGACTTCTGAAATTCTCATTGGAGAAGTAAAGAGTGTCTATTCTTGAAATATGGCAGTCTGTTTAAAATGCAGATTTCTGGGCATTATTGCTCAGAGTTGCTAACTTAGGTAGTATAGAGAAGGTCCTGGAATCTGCATTGTTAAAATGTATCCTGGGTAGCTCTCATGCAAAAAAATTTCTGGAAACACACTGAGGACACTGCCCCAAATCTGCATTCATTATTAGATTCCTGCATCTTATTCAAAACTGGTGGGTGGCTGATGTTCTAGGTTAATAGCATACCATACATGAAGCCCATCCGCAGAGAGAACAGTGAACCTTTAAGTTTATCAATTAATAGCTCTTTTCATAGCAAAATTGTAGGCTATCATTGTCATTACCCAATGTGTACTTTATCCTGGGATGCAGTGGCAACTATATGGAACCACCATGTGAAAGGAAGAAATAATGTAGGATCAAAGTCAGAAGACCTGTTTTTGAAGACTAAAAGCTCTACATGTTTGGACCGTGTAACTTCAGGCAGTTGTAAACCTTTAGTTTCTCTTTTATAAATTAAGATTTTAAGATTTGCAAAGGGAGAATAATCGGGTGTAGAAGATATGGACAAGTTTTTTTTTTCTGTTTTGATTCACGAAACATTTCACGAAAGCTTTGAAATATTTAATAAGTTAGGAATTTTCACATAAAACTTCTATCTCTGGCTTTTTTTGAAAAATGCTAAAACCTGAATTGGAAGACCTTGCAGATCTAAGCATAAAGAAATTGTGAATAGAGGAATGCTTCTTGATGCCCCTGAAATTGCTCTACCCAGTCTCTGATTTGGCCTTGAAAACTGGTTTATGTTCACCTAGACTCCATATATACCAGTTAGAGTCTATTGAAAAAATATTTAGCTTAACACTGTTTGAATACTCTGGCTTTTGTTCCTGAGAACTTCCTGTGATATGAGGGAAGGAAAAATAGTATTTTTTTCCTAAGGCATAATAGCATTGACACAAACCTGATTTTATTTTCACCAAAAAGTCAGAAAATTTAGGCAGGTGGAAGAAATTATTTTTAATGTATAAACAAAGGGAACAAAACTGAAATAGGTGAGATCCCTAGAATTTTGGGGCATGTCTTAGCCCTTCATTTAGGAATTATGAAAGATGAAGTGCGATGTGGGAGAAGCAGACCCTGTAACTTAGTAGTTACGCATCTGTGCACAAGCATGCAATTGCTATGGGCCTATTTGTTTACGTGTAAATGAGAAGTTACCCCAGGCCCTGTCCAGCTCTAACACTCTGATTGTACATAGCTAATTAAAAGTGGGTAATTGGAACAGAGGAAGGTACTAGTTATATAAAATACTTTGAAAACCTGGAGAATTTTGAGGCAATACCAAGAGAAAGTCTGGTGGAGTTCTACAGAACTAGAAGTTGTCTAAGTTCCAAAGGAAGTTAATATGCCAGTAAAAAAAGAAAATCAGGCCAAGGAGGTAGAAATGATACTGTGAGAAAAGTTTCACAAAGACCCACAACTAGAGAGGCAGTTAATATGTTAGGGAGTCAAAAACCTGAGTTTGAGTCTTAGGTTCACTACATAGAGCTGTGTGAATATTAGCAAATTAATTCTAACTTCTCTTTCAGTTTCCTCAAATGTAGAATGTGAATGAAACTATTTTCCCTGCTTGTCTCACAAGAGGACTCAATGAGGTATCTTATATGTAAATACTACATATTTTGTAGTCAAGTCATCAAGAGCCAACACAAGCACTCTCTATCTAAATT